TCTCTCTCCTGAAAACCAAAGGTGATTACAGAATACAGACACATTAGAAAAGAGTGGAAAGACAGTTGCATTGTGTACAGGAAAAGAAGCGTGTGCATACAGAATAAAGATCTTCTCCCCAAAACAAGGTGCCTGACCTCATTAGTGACTACAGAAATGTACATTAAAGCCCCAGCAAAAGACAAGAGCACCTCCATCAGGATCAACATTGAAGAGACTGGCAAGCTGAGCACTGGTACAGTGGAGTACTGCTAGACCTCTCAGACCCTGATGATGGTGTATGCGCCGGTGTCACCCGCTTAGTCTACTGTAAACATTTCTGACTGTGTCCGTTTCAAGACTAGGGGACACCTGGCCCAAGCCACGGACAGTATTGTTGGTTGCTTCAAATGCACGTGGAAAGTTGGACAATGAACAAAGAAGACTGAAGAAGTGATGCCTTTGAACTGTGGTGTTGGCAGAGAGCATTGAATGTCCCACAGTTGCTACCAAAGCAACCAATGAATCTGTCCTGGAGGAAGTCTACCCCGGGTGTCCCGCAGAGGCGAGGAGGGGGAAGCTTCATCTCACCTATTTTGGGCCAGGAGGGGACAGTCCTTGAAAAAGACCTCATTCTTGGAAGGTAGGCGCCAAAGAAAGAGAAGGAGGCGTTTGGTGAGATAGGCTGACACAGCGATTGCACCAAGGTATCTGAGGGTGGTGGAGATTGCGAGCCTGGGGCTGGATACTGTGAGGCCCAACCTGCCGTTCGCCGGGTCACTGTAAGTCACACGCAGTCAGCTCAACAGCCCCTCACAACAACAACAACAACAACAACAACAACAATATATCCTGTTTTGGAAAACCACTTGAAAGAATCGATTAAAGCTAAACATGTCCACTCTGTGATTAGCAATTCCACTCTTGGGTATACTTTCATGAATTAAATACTTGTACAGCAATGTTCACAGCAGCTTTTTTCTCTTTTTTTAAATAGCAAACATCAACTGTGAAACGGAGAAAGAATTTATATATGCATATGCTAAACGTTCTGCTGGCTTCTTGTTGGTGAGCATCGTCTGGTCAGAGCCAAACCATGCTGACCCTCCGGCGGATTTTCAGAGACAGTTAATCACGCAGGAGGAGACTGTCCATTCTTCTCCTGTGGAGCAGCTGGTGGATTTGAACCATGTGGCTTTGTGACTGCAGCGCTGTTTTGTACCACTAGGCTATAGTGATAAGAAACCACTATGCACCTCTGCTGGCTTAGTGGGAAGAAAATTGCACTCCAACCAAAGGCATGAGATTCAAATACACCAATTGCTCTGTGGAATAAAGATGGACAGTCTCCTCCCATGTGGTCAATTGCCTCTGAAAACTCGCTGGAGAGTCAGTTAGGGGTCAGTCCCAACAAGATGCTACTCAACAACAACAACAACACACTATGTGGAAAGAAAGAAATCCTCACTGACCCACACAACCAATAGTCCTTGAACAGCACAAGCCATGAACTCACACAGCTGCTGAGTAATGGTCAGTGGTTCAAGTCCACACGGGATCCCGCATAGCAAAGGGAGGGACCTACTTCAGAAAGCCTCGCCTTTGAAGATGCTGTGGGCCAGCTAGCTCTTTTGGGAACCAGCTCTTCTGGGGGCCAGCTCTCTTGCGGGCCCCCTCTTTTGGGGACCAATTCTTCTGCGGGCCAGCTCTCTTGCGGGCCCCCTCTTTTGGGGACCAGCTCTTCTGTGGGACCTCTCTTCTGCAGGATAGCTCTTCTGAGGGCCAGCTCTTTTGGGGACCAGCTCTTCTGTGGGCCAGCTCTTCTGCAAACCCACTCTTCTGCAGGCCCCCCTCTCCTGCAGGCCCCCCTCTCCTGCAGGCCCCCATCTTCTGCAGGCCCCCTCTTCTGCTGGTCCCTTCTTCTGCAGGCCCCTTCTTCTGCAGGCCCCCTCTTCTGCTGGCCCCTTCTTCTGCTGGCCCTTTCTTCTGCAGGCCCCCTCTTCTGCTGGCCCCTTCTTCTGCAGGCCCCCTCTTCTGCTGGCCTCTTCTTCTGCGGGCCCCCTCTCCTGCAGGCCCCCATCATCTGCGGGCCAGCTCTTCCACCGGCCAGCTCTCCTACAGGTCCCCTCTTTTGGGAACCAGCTCTTCTGGGGACTAGCTCTTCTGGGGACCAGCTCTTCTGTGGGCCAGCTCTTCTGCAAGCCCACTCTTCTGCAGGCCCCCCTCTTCTGCGGGCCAGCTCTCCTGCGGGTCCCCTCTTTTGGGGACTAGCTCTTCTGCGGGTCAGCTCTTCTGGGGCCCAGCTCTTCTGCCGCATCTTGGGCTGTCTGCGTCAGGGTGCTCTCCACCACAAGCGGTATTTTTTTTACACACAGCCACCTGTTGCGGAACGTCTGCTGGGTGGGAGAAGCCAGGCCGAGAGCCTACAGGCGCTGGTTTCATTTATAGATGTTTCAAAACAGGAAGCCTTCAGACGCGTTGACGGTGATGCACGAAGCGTGGATGCGTGAAGCCGGGGAGACACAGGGGTGTCGGTGTCGCACAGCGTCAGAGACACGGCTGCCTGTGGGATAGGGGAAAGTGGGGGTGTCTCTGTTTCATCTAAACTCGCCCTTTGCGTCGTGCACTTGTGTGTCCTCACTGCCTCAGCCCGGGTGTGTTGGTGGCGGGCTGTGTGCCATGTGACTAACCTGTCCCCTCGTCGTGGGGCACATGAAGCAGCCTCCACACGCTCTCCTGGTCGGAATCCATGGGAGAAGGTCACCATCTCTGCTCTGCAGAGGAGTCAATATCAAGCTTTCGGTCAGCGACCAAATGTGTAGTCACTGCACCACCAGGGTTCCTTGGGCCTAATTGTAGCATATCTTGATTAAAATGTTTTCAAATGCTGAGACCCATCCTCAGCTCCCAGGGCTCTAGGCCGGAGTGGACCCCTCCCCACACCAGCGGGCGCCGACTGCAGCCCCCCAGGACCCGGGTGTTAATGATTCCATTGGAACGAAGTGACCCTGTGGTGCTAGGCCCTGGGGCTTCTGGATGGGGGGCCCAGAAGGGCGTCAGGTAGACCCCAGACCATGTTAGCTTTATTTCACAATCGAGGTCAGCGGAGGTTGTGGGGACCAAAGCCAGAGACTGGGGCCTGGACCCCTGAGACCAGCTGGCCATTGCCATCCCAGCTGGGATTGCGCTTGCGCACTCCACTTGTTTCTCTGTCTCCAGGAGTTTCACAACCATCCAATCAACAGCCTCACTCTGGCACCGCCCGGGGCTGGCCCTGCCCATCGCCTCTCCTGATTGGCCCTTCCCTCGGCCACTGAGCCACACCCCTTCTGGCTCCGCCCCCGCCTCGCCTACACCCAATCTCGACCACTTGACCTCACTAGGGAGGTGGGGAGAGGTTCAGAGAGGGGCAGCGCTCGCCCCAAGACGACACAGCAGGTCAGCGCAGACCCCACTGCGCCCCCATCATAAAGCCAGAGTCTCGTCTGGCTCCTTGGGGCTGCTGGTCCCTCCACACGCACCTCCCCAAGGCAGTGCACCCACCCCGGGTTTTCATCTTTTATCTGCAATCAGGCACAGATTTCATTAACACCCACCCCCTGCAAAGAAGGTAGCTGCGCGTCCTCTGGTAGCTCTTTGAACCTAATTATGGGGAAATAACGTACAACAAACCATTTTAACTGGTTTTGGAGGATGCAATTCAGTGACGTCGATGGCACTCTTGCAACCACGACTACTCATTTGCTAAACCTTTCCATCCCCCCCCCCCACAAAAGCAGTTCAGCACCCCTGAAGCAATAGCCTTTCCCTTCTGCCAGGCCTGTTGTAGTTAGGGACAATCCAGTCCAACTCAAGACGACCCCATGTGACAAGTGATTTGTATAAGAACAGGTTGCCAGGTCTTTCTTCCGCAGCACTTCTGGGTGAGTTTGAATGCCTGGCCTTTCTTTTAGCAGCCAGGCTCTTTTTGTACCACCCAGACTCCAACATAGCACCATTGTTGCTCCTGTTGTTGTGTTCTGTTGAATTAATTCCAGAACCCCACACGACAGTGCAGAACTGCCTCCCGGAAACAGCTCAGCTGGTCTTCCTCCGTCAGAGCCAGCAGGTAGGTTTGAAGAGCCAATCCGTCAGGTAGTTGTGGTTGTTGACTGCCTTCGAGTCCAGCACGACTCATAATAACCCTATAAACAAAAGGCCTGAAGCCCCTCTACTACTCTCGACATTTATCAAAGGTCATAGAGTTTCCGGAGGCATGTGGTTTGGGAAGTGGATGCCGCTCCTGCTTCCAAATCTTTTAGGTAGCAGCTGGGAATTTAACTTTGCTCCACCTCCCCTAGCCAAAAATGTCCTTACCCATCGAGCTGTGGTGTTAGAGAAGAGCACTGACCATCCCATCGACGGCCGGAAACTCACACAGCTATGTCTTGGAGAAGGTGCAGCCAGAGTGCTCCTTGGAGGCAAAGATGATGAGGCATCATCTCATGCTTGAGGCATGTCTTGACGAGGGGCTGTTCCCCGGAGAGGAATAACATGCGTGGGAAGGTGGAGGAGCAGCCAAAGAGAGGAAGACCACTGAGATAGGTCGGCACAGCACAATGGACAAACTGCAGTGATCTGACTGGGTCAGGGATGATGCAGGTGGCACAGGATAGGAGAGGTTTCCATCTGGTGTCACAGGGTTGACCTGAGTTGTACTTGACTCAATGGCACCTAACAACAACCACCAAAAGGTTGTCAGTTCAAACCCCTCATCCACTCTGTGGGGAAGGATGAGTGGTGTCATTCCAGAAGGTTCTGCAGCTTGGAGAGCTGGTGGAAGGTCGCTGGGAGTCTGCATGGGTCCGAGGTGCTGGGTTCTTTCTTTGAAGCCACCTGTCTGCTTGCCGTAGCTATCCACTCGCCTGTTCCAGCGGCTTCCCCTCGGGGGCTCAGAGCTGTCTGTCCTTCCATGCTGGCTGTCCCCACAGCCCCGTCTCTGGCCAGTGCCCCTTCCTCATGCCTCTTTATCTCCCTTCCAGGCTGTGCCTTCCTCACCTACTGTGCCAGGGACTCCGCCATCAAGGCCCAGACGGCCCTGCACGAGCAGAAGACGCTGCCCGGGGTGAGTGAGTGGTGTCTTCAGGGAGCGGGGCAGGGACTGGGCTGGAGAACACAGCCTGGCCATGGCAGGGGCAGCTGCAACCATTCTGAGGCTCTGGACCTAGCAAAGAAATGCTGCTGGCATAAGGGCTGAGCGCTTGACTGTGAGTTGAAATGTTGGCAGTTGGAAACCGTACCGGGGCTCCGAGGAAGAAAGGCCTGGCCATCCCCACCCTAAGTTCGTTGCTGTCAGATCAGGTCAGCTCCCACGCACAGCGGCCCATCTTCAGCGTCACGGCGGTGTGCGAAGCCCTTGTTGTCCCCCTCTCTCCCACTGCCTTCTCCCTCCTCCGTGGACCGGCCACTCTGATGGCGTGTCCATAGTACACACAGGGTCGCCCTGTCATCCCTGCCTCCCAGGGGCACTGAGCCTTTGTTCTTTCGGCCATATATAGTGTATTCACTCTCCTGTGCCACAAATGTAACCCCAGGTATCGGCTCCCCTGTGGTCTCCTCCCCAGTCCTTGCCCGGAGTCCACATGCCAGGTGATTAAAGATGCCTGCATCAAGCTCACCTTCATCTTCGAGGCACACGTTTGCTTTTTGCTTTTTAACACCTTAGAGAGATTTTTGGCAGTGATTTTCAGTGATTTATCGTGGGGTTCTCTGCTATTTCCGCAGGCATTGATTGTTGATCCTCGTAAAAGTAAATCCGTGACAGCATCCGCCTTCTCCCCATTTATCGTGGTTTTTAGCAGAAAATGCTACAGGGCTTTGCTTTCCACAAGCAAGGATGTGCCGTCTGCAGAGTGCAGATTGGCGAGTGTCCCTCCAATCCTGATGTCACATTCTTTATCCTAGAACCAACCCCCCTCTTCTCACATTATTTGCTGCAACCCTCAAGCTTGGAGCCCAGAGGACCTTATGGGGCAGTTCTGGCCATTTATTATTTTTGTTAGTTGCCATTGAGCCAGCCCCCACTCAGGGTGCCCCCTGCAGGACAGACAGAGCGCTGCCCGGTGCTGTGACAGCCCCGTGAGTGATCACCACCAGGCTGTTATTCCAGCAATCCACGGGGTTGATGGTGGATTTTGGGAAGAAGGTCACCAGGCCTTTCTACCTAGTCTGTTGGAAGCATCCGGGGAGCTCTCGGCCTCCTGGAACCAGACCCTGACCGCTGAGCAGGACACTCACAGGGTGGTCCTTGGAGGGGCGGGCATGGGAGCTGGTTCTTGAGAGAAGAGGAGGGCTTGTCAGATGGACTTGGGGGTGGAGTGGGGACTGCGTGTACCCAGACTGGGAGCAGGAACGTGCCCGCCTGCTGCTAAGAGCGGCTGAGAACAGGAGGAAACAAGCAGCTCCCTCGCCTGATCCTGATGGTGTTCAGCTCAGGTTACGAGGGGCCATGGGGGGCGATGGCTGGACTGAAGGCTGTCACAGCTGGGAGGGGGAGCTACACACTGAGATGCTCCTTGACACCCACAGTGCATGGGGCAGCTCTCACTCCAGAAAGAACCAGCCCCTTGGGTTAGTTAACAGCAATACAGCTAACCCACCCCATTAGGTCAACTCCAACTCGTAGTGACCCTCAGTGATGACCCTCCACCAGCCTTTACGGGAAGACACTGCCCAGATGACCCTGGTGGATTTGAACCACTGACCTTTGCGCTAGCAGCACAACGCACAGTGCTATCCACCACCAGAACTCCTTGTGCCAAAGCCAGGAGAATTAAAACCTGGTGTCTATTCTGGAACAGGGCTGTTGAGTGTTAGTGTAATCCACATCACACAGACATCGAAAATGTCCTTTTACCTGCTTGGAAAAGAAAGAAAATAACCTTCTTGATAAAAAGGAACAACTAAAATGGATTTTATTACCATCCCCCATTTTAACCAAAATCTTATTGAAACATGCAATCTGGATTAAAATTATTCACACACTATTTCTCTGGAAGTCAGCTGGCTAATCTGGTGGGCGGGCTGACATCTCCATGGCGCCTCCTCTTGATGGCGGTCAGGCAAGGGAAGTTTCTGGGATCTTTTTCCTTGGATGTTACTGTTCTTTTTGCCCTTCAAAGGTGGGTGAGCAGCCCTGACTCTTAGAGTAAGGGGAGGGAAGGGTGGGGTGGAGCAGACAGAAAGCCCTGCTCCCGAGCCAAAGGTGGGTGACTCTACTCCGCAGCCCTCGGGCCTGCCTTTCATTGTTTTTGGTGAAACCTTCTTCTAGGTCGTGTAACCCTGGTGTGTCCACTTGCTGTACAGAGGTAACTCGTGGTTGCTGTGAAGCCGAACACTGTGACACTGATGTGTCAAATGCGATAATGGTTACCCATGGTGGACGGTGTTTGGTGGAGCTTCCCGATTCAAACAAGCTTGGAAGCAGGAGTGGCATCCACTTCCACAATCGCTTGCCTCTGGAAGCCCTATGGAACCTGGAGAAAGGAGGAAAGTTATACAAGTGTTCAGGACTTTCATTCATGGGGTCGCTATGAGTCGCCTACGACTCGACGGCACTTACCACGACATTTCTCATTATCTTTCTTTATATATACAAGCTCTTTGGAATCTGATGTGTATTCTACACTCATATCTCTATTCAGACATTAGATTTTGTTGCTGAACTATCTTTGGATTTCATAAATTAGGCAGTTGCAAAAGGTAGATTCAAATACCCATGTTGTTATAATAAGCTTAAAAGTTTCCCAAGAATGGGACAAACTTCTTCCTGTTGTTATTGTTAGGTGCCGCTGAGTCGAGTAAGACTCACAGCGACCCTAGGAACAAAAGATCTGAACCCCGTCCTGTCCTGCGCCATCCTCACGCTTCCTGACACATAAGAGCCCGTTGCAGCAGTCACCGTGTCAGTCCATCTGGTTGAGGGTCTTCCTCTCCTTCACTGACCCTCCACCCTCATGTCCCCCAGAATCATGTCCTTCTTCAAGGAATAGCCCCCCAGCAACATTCCAAAGTATGGGAGGGGAAGCCTCATCATTCTTGCCTCCAAAGACAAACTTACTGGGATTTAAAAAAAAAAAAAAAGAACCAAAATTTTAAGACTAGTTCGTAAGTGATACAAGCTAGTTTCGAGTACTCGGTGGTTCACTGTCCTGGATGGTGTATTCTGAAATATTCTAGGCCGGAGATAGCAGATTCTCCTGCAAAGGGTCAGAGAGTAACTGGCCACTTTTTCAGGCCTGACAGTGTCTGTCACAATTACTAACCTCTGCACAAAAGCAGACACAGGTAACAACACATCAAGAAGGGACTGTGACAGTGTACCAACAATCTTTATAACATAAACAAAGGGCTGGAAACAGAGCCATGCACGGGCTGTGGTTTGCTGAGTGCTGTTCGAGATGTCTATACCAGTGACATCTCAATGGCAAACACTTGACTGCTCACTGAAAAGTTGGGGTTCAGGAGAAAAGACCTAGAAATCTGCCCCCATAAATGTTGTAGCCTGTGAACCCCCAGGAGGCAGTTCTGCCCTAGTATGTGGGGTCACAATGAGTTGGAACTTACTTGACTGACAACAGTAAGAGTGTCAGTCCTGGGCAGCCACGTTGGTGGTGACGTCCTCCCATGCAGCCACGTTGGTGGTGGCATCCTGCCGGGCAGCCACGTTGGGGTGACATCCTCCTGGGCAGCCACATTGTTGGTGACGTCCTCCCGTGCAGCCACGTTGGTGGTGACGTCCTCCCGTGCAGCCACGTTGGTGGTGTCCTCAAGTCGGTTCCAGCCGGCAGAGACCATGGTCGGTGTAACAGAGGAGGCATGGCATCCTGCGCCGTACTCACCACTGTCACCATGTTTGTGACCATTGCAACCACTGCACCATCCATCACCTGGACGGTCCCTCTCTCTCACTGACTTTACCCAGCATGACATCCTTCCCCAGGGACCGGTCCCTCTTGACAGCAAACTCAACACACGTGAGATGCGATCTCATGATCCCCCTTCTAAAGAACTTTTAACGCAGCTGTTGTTGGGTGCTGGTGAGTTGACTGTGACTCATGGCCACTCTGTGAACCACAGGCTGAACCCCTCCCTTTCCTCCACTGTCCTCCCAATCCTGCCAGGCTCCAGCCCAGGGGGCCACTGTGTCAGCCCGTCCTGGTGAGGGTCTTCCTCTCTTTCTCTGACTCTCCACCCTTCCGAGCATGGCCTCTCTCTCCAAGCAGCTATGGACCCTGTGACATGGGACCAGGGTAACTGAGGACCTATATTTTTTTTTAATTTTATGATTTTTTTTTGTGTGTACACCGTCAAATCAGATCTGACTGGTACAGGAGGAGATTGCCCCTCCTCCAGCAGAGCATCTGGTGGATTTGAACTGCATACCTCTGGGATTGCAGTGCAGCTTCTTGCCACTAGGCCACCAGAGCTCCCCCAGGACCTATATATATATTTTTTAAAAAATTATTTTATTAATTTTAATGAACATTTACAGAGATTTTTTTTATTTCCATTCATTCACTGTTCCACTTTTCTCCCTGCCCACCCCTCCTCCCCAGTTTGCTCTCCCCTTTGAAAAATAAAAGAAAAATTCCTCCATTGGAATACAATCCCCCTGTCCCATCCCTGGCCCTGAGTACACTCCACTATGCAACCTTCAATCTGGACTCTTGTCACAACCATAATACCCAATTATATATCGCTTTTAAACTGTTCTCTCCCTCATCTGTTTCAGTGCAGTATATATAATTTATCCAATTTTTCTCAGTCTTACCCCAACCCAGGACCTATATTTTACATCATTCTATTTAGCTAGCTTTAAATTTGCATTTCTGTTGCTATGTGTGACTAATGGTTATCAGATTGGACAACGTGCGTCTAGAATGTTCTAGAGAAAGGATCTGCCAGCTTGGGGAGTAATGTGGGTCTCGTTCTAGACCGAGAACCAGCTCCCACGGAGAAGGCATAGATACACACTGGGATCAGTTACCAGATGGAGCCAGAGAACTAGTTCCCCCAGCGCTGATTGGACAGTGCCGATAAAGGATACATGGGGCCAGCCACCCT